AGACAAAGAGAAGCTACACAGCTTGTAAGCCTTCGTGTGTCCGCATGTTAATCTCACATAGACAATCCCTCTGTTATATTATCTCCACTCTGTGTGGGGCTGTGTGGCCTTTTCACCATGCATGAGCCATGAGTAAATGAATTCATCGCCCACGTGGTCCACAAGCACTGACAGAGGCCTTCAGCAAGCCGCAGTGTCCTGTTGTCCTCCATGAAATATGCTGCAGCCAGGGTTTTCCTGCAGCTCTTTTACCAGACCATTTTTGTCAAAACAGTCCCTGCGTGTCCTTTTTGACGACAATTTCCTTTACTGGCAAGGCCAGTAATTTTCTGGAAGTTTAGACTGGCCTTTATCCCAGATAAATTAGCCCCCAAATACCTTTCCAAACTGCAAGATTTCCTTAACAAGGAGGCAACACTCATGTTCCTTTCTAATCCTCACTATCGAATGAAGCCAAATAATATTTATATGAGTTAAGAGAAGTTTTGGGAAAGAGTTATATGAGAATTAATTCCACTTTCATGTTAGTAAGCTAAATATGAAGCCAGCCAACAAGCTTAGCTAAGCATACAGACAGGGTGGGTAAGAGCTAGCCTGGCTCTGTCCAAAGGTAAAAACATTGGCCTGTCAGCATATCTGAAGCTCAATAATTCACTTGTTACATCTTGTTTGTTTAATCTGTGGCAGTGATTTTTTTCTTCCAACTTTTGGCAAAATTACAAGTGAGCGTGTTTCCCAAAACGTTAAACTATTCCTTTAATCAACGGTGACATGTTATGTGAATGTGCCATGTGCAACAAAGCAAATTTTCTCCCGTGATTGAAACAACTCAAAACAAAACAGATTTATTGCTTCAATATAAACCTATATTACACTTTTTTTTTAAAGTTCTTTTTTTGGCCTTTTATTGCCTTTATTATAATATAGATAATAAAAGATCAGGCTCTCCAGCTATTATCTACATATTGGCCATTATGGCTGACGTTAAAATCCAGCAGTGTAGGCCGACCCTGTTCAGCTACAGCTTTATTCCTAATGAGATTATTTATTGTTGACTGTTGTAGAATCCTGAATGGAACCAGGTTCAAGAACCAGAGATGATTTGGTGGAAAAGGGGTTCTCCTGATCCACACTTCTCCTCCTAACAGTTACTGTTTGGAGCCACAATTGCAATGTTTTTGAACCATTCATTTCACGCCCGCTTACCACCACATTTTAGCCCGTAGCTAATCATGGACGTATTCGTATATTACAGCAAAATACAAAACCTCATAATTTAAATAATGTAGTATATTGATAGTATTATATGTTTTTAAATGCAGCCTGCGTACCACCAGCAGTACACATAGTTTGAGAACCAGTTCCTTAAGTAAAGCCTCCTCTGACAATGACTTGCAGCCATTAAAGGATGTGTATTGTTGCCAATTTAAGCTATTCATCACACTTTTGAGATGATGAACTGAACTGGTGACTTCATTTTGCTGTCAGTCATTTGGAACATCCAAACTAATGAACACAGTTCCAGTCATTCTGACAAACCACAAAGTCTAAAACTAAAATGGATGCAGTTTTATTCCCCGAAAATGAACTATTCTGCCCCCCCCCAGCATGCTCCGAGGTGATTTGTGCCACCTCAGCTCATCGTCACATTAGCTCATGCTCAGAATTAGGTGTCACTTCCACATTGTAGAAAAAGAGAAACAAGGAGACTGAGTCAGACCAGTCAGGGAACTTTCTGCTTCCCCTACTTTATCTGATCCTTTGTGGTGAGTCTCTTCCGCTGGCTGCAGCTCAGACCCTGAACCTGAAGGCCGTTTGTAGCTGACAGGGTGTGTTCGTGGAGTTTTTTAGCGGAGGGAGACGAGTGTCGAAGGATGTGGCGGTGACGGATCACTGACAGGAGGCTCAGCTGTCTGCGTCCATCAATAGTTCGGCCCACAGCTCTCTCAATAGCACAGCTGAGCAGCTGAGAGAGAAGTTTCTGGTACACTGGAGGGGGTCCTGATGTGTTTGTCCGGACTGGTTCTCAGCTGCATTATTTTGCTGTTTACGCTCAAAGAGAAAGTTATGGTGCTGGTAAAAGGCGGCATGTGTTTGTTGCATAAAGTGCAAGATCTCCAGAAGAGACCGCTTTGTTATGTAACAGCAGCTGGTGAAGTTAAAGAGCGTGTGGCGTCTTAAAATCAACCCCAGTCACTTCATTGGCCTGCTCATCAATGCCTCCAACTCTCAATAAACAACCACTTTCTGTCTCTGCAAGGATGAAAGGCAACAAAAATGAGGCTAGGTGTCATTCAAGCAGGGTCAGCTTTTAGTCTCTAGTAAAAGCTTTTTGGCGGTCTCCACACAAATAACATTTGTGTTTCAACTTTAAACCACAATCAAATGAGCAAACTCTTAAAGTCTGATCTTTAAGTTGAATTTTTAAGAGTAGTTCTGGAGACAGCCGGTCTTCCATATCACGCAGTTACAGTAATGGCCTTCAACAGGTCGGTGCAATGTCAAAGGTCATGGCTAAGATAAGCTCTGCCATTAAATGTATCTTTATTTTCAACAAGTAAACTCTGTTCAGCTTTGGTATAAGGTCAAAGGTTGTGACATGGATATGGCTTTAATATTATATATTTATATTATGCACATTAAAGGTCCACGGTGTGAAATACAGATAGAACAGATGTTTTCATTTGTGTATAATCACCTGAAAATAAGAATTGTTAAAAAGTTCATTTAACTTAAAAAATTATTACATCAAACATTTTAAGTAAAACTAACTAATAATTTTTAAGTTAAACATTCTTGATCAAGTAGCTTTAGTAATTTTAAGTGACACAGACCTGTAGTTTTTATTTGTACTGTGAAAATAAAATATCTAGTAAAAAAAATTTTTTTACTTAAAAAATTTAGTTGGTCGTACTTAAAATGTTCAATCCATCCAATCCATTTCAACAATTTTTTTAACTTAAAAACATAACATCACATTACAGTGTGTGTTTTCACTACTTTAGAATGAGCTGTTTTCATCTTTGGAGGGAGTGGGTCCTCTTCTACAGAGTCTGCCATGTTGTAGCCCAGAACGGACAGAGCAAACACTGGATGCAGATAGGGCCTTACTTGTTTTGCGGCCAAGTAGTTTCTCCTACATGCTTGTAATTGGCAGATGATGCGAGGAGGTTGTAATCTGCAACCTACAGTTGTCACACTGGTCCTTTAATACCATTAAATGACGGTCTGTCTCTGTCCACAGTCGCTGCTGTTTGACTCTCTTCAAAGGCTGAACTACTTTGCTGCCCAGGAACTTAACATCTCCCATTTCACTAACTACAATGCTGGTACATGCTCAACTTCCATTAAAGTAAATGGACGACTGTGTGGAGAGCATGAGCGAATGTGTGGAGAATGCTCTCAGTTTCTGAGAGACAGACATGAGGCCATTACTGGGTTCTGCCAAGCAGACAAATTAAAAGGGAAGAAAATCTGCCTGGTTCCAGCAGAGACTTTAAGTTTTACAGTTAAAAAGCTCACAGTGATGGCTGAAATGGAGCCCTGTCTCTTTTTTGTTTCTTTCTAGTGATCACTTATATTGCTTCATCACCCAGCAGCATGAACAGAGCAGCCCTTCCAGTCTTAAATCCGTTAATCCCAGTGTGTTTATTAAAATGTTTGAGAGGCTCTTGGAGACCATTTGTCAGGTCTTCCAAATGGAAATCACAGACCTGATGAAGTGAGGTGTTTCCGTCAAAAAAAGCTCTCTGTCAACAAATAAGATGGTTCAAACAGGGACCAGGCAGCGATGTCGCAGTTTGAAAAAGCAAATCCTGACTAATTCTTACACTGGAAATGTTTTTCTTGGCACCTACAGGGAACTGACTGTTTAGTTAAGAGTTAAGCATGGTCATTAATCAGTGGGTATCTCCTTCTTCTGCCTTCATTTGGGGCACTCCTCTATTCAGGGTCATGTGAGTCATACGACCCAGCCCAGTGAGGACGTGAAAGCTGTTGTGTCTATTTTTAAGACTATTAAAAGAATAGTTTGGTATTTTGGGAAATGCACTTATTTGCTCTCTGGCTGAGAGTGAGATAAGAAGATCTTGTCATCTAACTTTTCTTACACCAACCCATATATGCCGAATGTTATATTATATATGGGGAAATTCAGTTTTTAATAAGTTGTCCCCTCATGTCTGTCCCCTCACCGGAAAGCTACAACCAGTTAACTTAGTCCAACATAAAATCTGGTAGCCAGTTAGCTTAGTTTAGCATGAAAAACCTAAAACTATACTCAACTGTTTAGCTTAGTATAAAATGGAAAATAGCAGCCAGCTAGCTTAGTTTAGCAAGAAAAATGGCAGTCGGTTATCTTAGTTAATAATGAAAAATGGCAAAGCAGTTGCAGTTTCAGTTTAGCATGAAATATTTCAGCTGTTAGCTTAGTTTAGAATTAAGATTGTAGAATCATTTTTCTTTTTGTCATATCTGTCCCCTCACTAAAGCTAGAGCCAGTTAGCTTAGTTAACATAAAAACTAGCAGCCAGTTAGCTCAGGTTTTCATGAAGAATTGCAGCTGGTTAGCGTAGTTTAGCATGAATACTGTGAACAGGTGGATCTACATCTGAGGCTCACTGACAAGACAATATATCTAAATTGATTCATCTGTACAAAAACTGAAGTACAAAGAGGGTTCCTCCAGGAAGTCAATGTACCTAAAAAACAGCCCGGAACATAACCTTACGTGAAACCACAACTTCTATACCGTTTTTGTACAGATTAAACAAATGAGATAGAACGTGTAAAATAGTGAATTTAAGAAGTGCTAGTACACAGGTTTTGTTAGCGCTGGACAGAGCAAAACTAGCCTTTTCTCTCCAGTCTTCATGCTAAGCTAAGCTAAGTGGCTACTTGCTCATCTTCAGGGTACAGAATATCAGTATTGTCATCTAAGTCGGCAAGAAAGCAAATAATGGCATTTCTCAGAGGGAAGACAAAAGACATTAAACCAAAAGTTCAGTTGCAATCTTACACAGATCTTTATTGTTCTTTTAATTACATACAGGTCGTGGCAAACAAGTTGCCCTTCTCTCTTTTCTTTTTTCCACCTCAACAAAAGCATCTTCTGAACACATACAACAACCTTCTTCTTTGTCTCCCTTCCCCTACGTACTTTTTTCCATCAATAACTCTCATTTGATTTTAACCATCCATCTATGTGCAAGATATCACATCAACTTATACAGAAAGTTAATGGAGTTTATCGTCTTGCAATTTCAATCTTTTTCAGTTCCAAAACACAGCTTTATCAATCTTTACTCTTTTCTCTTCAGCCTTCAACAACATTCTCTTATCTCTCATATCTCTCATCAACCAGTCTTTTACATGTTTAACTGTCCTGTCCCTCAGGGCAGGTAAATACATCCTGCTGCCATTACTGGTGCAAGCAGTGTCCACAACTAAAGCTCCATGCAAGATGCTACACTGAAAAGTGATGTTTCATTCTGAAAAGTCAGCTTTTTTACAAACCAACATGGCTCAGTTCAAAATTTTGTTTCAAAACAAAACTCCTCATCTCTTCTCTGACATGATTTTGACATCGTATGATTTACCAACACTGCACTTCATAGCGATGTCTTTGTTCTAACAGAGAGAAACTGGAATCTCACCTGTTACTGGATTTAAGTTAATGCCTCTGACTGCAAAAAATAAAAGTGTCCCGATCCTAACATCCGTCATTAAAGGAATGTATAAAAATAAGACGCGTGTTCTGATTAATCTAAAAATCAGACTTGTACAGAACATTTTAAGCTTTGTGTAGTACATCTCATCCTTTTTTGGGGATTCTTTTCCTTTCTTGCCTGCTAAACATGCTCAAATTTTCAAATAACTTCACCTAAAAGCTAAAACAGTGCTGCTTTATGATACCTAAAAAAATACTACAATAAATTTTAGAATATAAAAATGTAAATCTTTCATTAGCCCCTCCGTAAGGTCTAAAATAATGTTTAAATATCACAATTAATAGTAAACAGGATTGAATGCACCACCTCGATCTTCAAGAAATCACCAAACTCATGACACACACAGATTTGTGTGTGAAATGTGTGTTTGCCTCTCGTTACGCTTCCCTTTTTAGAGCTGGTGGAAGCCGTGCACGTTTCTCCAGAATACTGTGTCTCTGTAGGGTGCACTTGGATGGAGGGGTAAGGTAAATAGCTGCCGTAGAGGACAGTAACACAGAACACTGTTGTAATAATACGCACGCACGCAGACACACATAAATACAAGTCCCACGCTTCTCCACGTTGTGTTTTTTAACACTTATGTACAAAACAATGTCCGCCCAGGAGTCCATTTTCTCCTTTCACCTCAGTTCACACCATAGTCTCTTTTCTCTTCCCTAAAGAACACAGAGACTTCTTGTCCTTTTTGGTTTTGTGAGCTGTGGGTGAGGAGAGCGGCGACGAAGATGAGGAAGATGATGTCGTTGACAAAGAGGATGAGGAGGAGCGGGATGAAGGAGACGTCGTGGTGGGGCTGGGGGTCGTGCTGTTGCACGGCGAGCCGGGGGCAGACTGAGAGGTCGGCTGCGGGCAGTTCTCATCTGCTTCCTCCATGTGGACGATGGCGGAGACAGAGGAAGGGCGACGCTTGGAGCGGGCGTCGCTTGCAGGCGGGGAGGGCGTGGAGGGCTCGCTGAGGGGTCGGTGGACGGAGATTGCACTGCGAAGGCAGTTGAGCCACTGCTGCTTGTGGAAAACGTCGTTGACCTGCAGTGTGTGGGACTGTGCCTGGCTTGGGTCATGGGAGCGCACGCGGAAAATGTTCTTGGCTGCGGAGAAAGCAGAAGTAGAATTAGCAAACTGATGTTTTTGACATCGAACTGTATTCCTACATTAACCACAAGAAACTTTTTGACTTTGACAAGAGCCTCACCTTTGTCTGCGTTGCTGAAAGCGCCTCTGAAGGAGCCGCCCATTCTGACGTCTCCATCCTGCAGGTCCTCAAGCACGAGGTCCTGGACTGGGATTGGCTGCCGGTAAACCTGGAAACAGTGGCGCTCATTCCTGGTGACGGGGCGGCTCAGAACCAGCAGCTCAGTGAACAGGAACACGTGCAGCTTCTGAAAGGAAATAAACAGACAACAAAGATTAAAACCAGAGCACTCATATTTCACATCATCACCAACAAAGTTTTCTGGAAGATGTTCGTACTCTGTTAAATCATAGGTTGGTTGGGGGGCAGCAGAGCAGCCAGTTATAGCCGGTTTGCCTTATATGGGATGTGAGGCTTGTGTTGATGAGTGAGGAGGAAGCCAGAGGAGCAATGTGTGTGTTTTGCTCACCGTGCCACTCTTGTTGCGTAGCTCCCCGTGACACAGCAGGCTCTTGCACTGCTCGATGCGAGGGTCCCTCTGCCTGTCGTCCAGATACTCCAACTTGTCAATGTAGTACTGGCACTCAGACTCTCCCTTCTTCATGTTGATGTCAGACAGCACGCCCTGGATGACAGTGATCTGAACACACAAGGAATCGAAATATTAACTTCAGCCACGTTATTAGATAACCAAGAGATAATAAATGAATGTGTGTCCTCGGCTTACCGCTTCCTCCAGGCTGGCGGAGTCTGGGTGCTCTGGTGGAGTGTGTTTCAGGATCTCTTTGAGCAGCAGTGGATACTTGACCAGGCGAGAGCGTGGGATGTCCAGGAAGCTCCACAGGTCCAGCTTCCTGCTGAAGGGTGACTCGAGGCAGCGCTGCAGGAAGTCCTGCACCCGTGGGTCCAGCTTCTTCTGGTCCAGCAGTGCCTTAGCTGCCAGCTGGTTGCTGCAGTAGTCCTTGTAGGCGTTAAGCCTTGGCAGCTGTAGAGGAGGTGGAACACCGTTACTAATGCTGCCTTCCCTACTGGAAACCCAGTTGAGTTTAAATGGAAAGAGGTTGAGGTAAATTGGTGTTGTGACACTTACCCAGCTTACGACAATCTGTCCGATCTGGCCCACGGTCCCATCTGGCCCTGTGGCTTTTGAGAGCTGCGCAAGGAGGTCTTCATGTAGAGGGATGTAGGTGTCCAGGTTGCCGAAGATGTGAGTAAGCTCCTCCTCTGACATAATGGAGAGCTTCAGCATCGGGTCATGGTACGCCTGTGTACAGGAACAGAGCCAACAGTCAAATAACAACATCCCTTCAGGCCCAGCAGGGGTGGATGCTAAGAATAGCTCTTGAAGAGCTTTAGGGGTACAAGAGAAAGACAGAGGAATAATTCCTGTCTTTTTATAGTTTCTGGCTTGGCCATGTAGAAGGCCTGCCAGACTTTGATTTAATCTGTTTGCTTTATACAGTATGTACTCCCCCTGCCTCAGAGATTTAAAAGTACAAACCTTGCGTGCGAGCTGGAGGTCCTCGATCAGATCCTGTTCTCCACGAGACAGCTCAAATATGGCCTGAGGAGAGGGAGGAGGCACAAAAAGACACTTTTTTAGGAAAACACATGAATCAGGATGTCATGTGCAAACGACAGCCATTAGACTAAATCTAAAACTGGGCAGGTGCCAAAGGGCTGAGGTAAACTCTGAAATCTATCTAGCTCTCCGTGTTTAAAACTGTACAAAGTTTATGGCTGCTGACAGTTGGCTAAGAGGTCTGACATATGCAGGACAAGTGGGGAGGTAGGGCAGCAGAGCGCCGGTTTGTTGGCTTGTCAGGTATATGTGAGCCTACACAGACTGGGAAATGATCCCTGGGTGGCTTTTAGCCCCATTTAGACTATTAGACACAAATACTACAGGGATATGTGAAACTAGTCTGGTAGACAGGCATAATTCACCACTGTCTGGATTTCTATCTTAGCACACTCATTCATCTACAACTACACTTTGTCTCTTGGTGTCCTAACTATTGCCATTTCTACTGTATTTTCATGTCTCAGTGCTGATTCTCACCTCCTGCCGCTTGATCTCTTTGGTGGAGAAAGTCCCTTTCTGGTGGACGTCTAGAGTCTCCGACCACAACGTGCTGTTCCTCCTTTTGGGCGGTGTGGGGGCCGCCGCCTTGCTGCAAGGCTTCTGGGGCACGCCCGGCGACTTGCCATCGCCCCGGAACGAGGCCTGCAGATGGGAAAGAGGAAGCCCCAGATGTAAGACATGTTGCAACTGGAAAGCAAGTTGTGCAGTGTCCCTCGCCCTGAGGAGTTCCCGTTTTTGCGGGATGTCACAGGGAGCTTACCTGGATGGTTTGGCCGAAGCGCCGGACGGCCCCATTCTTCACCGGAGAGATGAGGTTGGCTAGCGACGTCACCCTGCCGAGAGGACGGACACGCTTGTTGCTGGGTTCCTTGAGAAGCAAGAGAAAAACAGAAGGAGGGGATTAGTCAGGCAATTTTATCACAGCTAGTGTCAAAGGAAAGTCTTCAGCAACACAGAACAAATCGATCAGTAACGCCAACTGTGACTGAGACCTCAGCAGTGAGTCCAGGCGCTCCCTTGTGATTTCCTTGTGATAAAACACATCAAGTCAAGTCATAAATCCTCATTATTGACTCTACTCCCTGCTTTGGAGCGAGGGAATAGGAGTCGCCAGAGCAGAGGTCGAGCTGCAGACAGACTGGCGGACCAGCGGACAGACAGAGATACTGAGGAAGAGGAAGCAGCTCCAGCAGCTGTTGGCTCCATCATGTGAAGAGTCTTGAGCCAGGCCAGCCCACTGAGCACAAAGACCCTCTCTGACTGCTGATCTGGAGGGGAAGGGGGTCTGGAAGAATGCCAGGAATGCACGAGACCCTGCTCTCAGCTGTTCCACACCCCTCCCCACGCACACACTCTGCTACTATCTGGCCTGACAACGGCTACAAGCCCACTTGAGAGTGGATCTGTAACATCACTCAAACAGTGTGAGATAAATGCTTCCTGATTGCTCCAGCTCTTTAACTGCCTTTCCCAGAGAGACAACACAGTAAGGACAGTGTGGCAGGACTGTTCAGTAAAAACAGACCACCACTGTGAGTCGGGGGAAGGAGCAAGAGTTGTAATGTCCCCTCTCAAGTGTTTACACAGTGCGGCGTCGCAGGGGGCGCACAGTGGTGGTTATGGCTGCAAGTTGAGGCAGGCTCTTCAACAGTCCTCGCGTGAGAGCAGCACTACACCTTGGCCAGGTGAGCCCCCCCCTCCTCTCTCTCCCTCCCCTCACCCAGCCTCGAGGCTGGGAGAAAGCAGAGACCTGCTCTGGCCTTATGCCAACAACAACAGGCCGCAGAAATCAAAGAGCTGAAGATCTGAGGTAATGATTTCAGCCCGCAGAGCTTCTTCAAAAACATGACACCATGAGACAGCCACAGTCATAATTAGCATTTCCAAAGTTTGTGCTCTCCACAAAACATATTTCATTTCAAGGACTTCGCCCTAATGAGAGCGTTAAAAACCAGCACCGCACTGCTAAAAAGCTGCTTGTGTTTTCTCCTGACTCAGGCCAAATGGGATTTTGCCTTGGCTCAGCGGATCTGGGAAACAGAGCAGCCATTGAGGCTCCGGGCCCTGCGGACACAGCTGTGGAACAGATCCGCTCAGTCTGGCGTGGCCTGTGAGCTGTGGTCGAGTCACGGCCTGCTGTGGTAAGGGTCTTCACATTGGACCAGGACAGCCAGACAGCCTTGAGAACTTAGAAAGCCCTCTAGTGGCAGAGGGCAGCAAAGTGATGCCACATGTCAACTGCTTTGATTGTGGTCTACATACAAAGACTGAATTTTTTTTTTGACTCGTCTGTTGGGGCTAGACTGGCCTGGCTCTTTTTTACTGCCAGTAGACAAAGAAAATAAAGTAAAAGCAAAAGTTACAGGAGGGTGGGGGTTTTTCAAAGCGATACGGGTAACCTATGATGGCAATTGCGCCCTTCCTGTCCTTTGGAAACTGGCCTCAGTATAACAAAAAGCCACTAGTCCCACTCTTTGTGCATCAGCTGGAGAGTGAAATAGTGCAGACAGATGGGGAAAGTTGCTATTCCTAGCAGTGTGACCCAGGAACCCTGTGGACCTACGGCGAGTCTGGCTCACTTCAGGAAACCACATGGATCCGGGGTTTGTGCTGCTGCTTTGGATAACCATTATCAGTGGAACAATGACCCTCCAGACATGCATATAGTAACATCTGCGGTGAAACTCCTAACCTAAGATTACAACCTCATAAACATCAGGAGCTTTTTTTAGGGATCCAAAAGCTCTCTTCCTGTGCTTTCCCTTTGATGCAACCTTGTGTGTGCTGTGAGCTAATACTCCCAGATGTGTCCCTGTGATTACACCACAGCTTGAGCTGATAGGGAGCTGAGAACAGAACAGCCAGACCATAAATGAAAGACTCGAGGTCAGCAATAAGTCAGCACTGGACGAAAAAAAAAAAAAAAAAAACACGTAAAGCTGAAACAATGACTCAATTGTGCGAGAATGGGACTCACTTCATGAATTGTCCCTAGACTTCTCCTTTATCAAGTGGTTTACAGTCAATGAAACCACATCTTCCTGAAATCTCTTCCGAAAGAGAAACCTCAAAAGGGGAAGGGGGAAGGAAGGGTGGTCGGTTTGATAAGTACAGAGAGCACACTTAGGTCTCAACGCCGGTGTCCCTTTAATTGTGCAGCTGAAGGAATACTCTCAGGCTGCTGGGCTGCATTTACATAAAAAACACTCTGAAATGCCAGAGGTCAAAAGAAAAGTAATCTTAGTCAGGTCTGAACTAAAAGGATGCAGGGTTGCTGACTGAGTTTACCCCCTGCTGCTTCACTGTGTGTGGTTCTTTGAGTCTACCAACTATCCTGATCTCTCCATATCCCACCGTGGCTGAGCTGCCTGCTGGGATGCACAGACAGGGAATACACAACACTGAGGGGGGTCAGTACACTGCAGCTATGACTGTACCGTAGGTGCAGTGCGATTCAATGATTAACTTTTTCAGGTTAGGCAGTATCTTGAGCATTGTTTTTAGTGCCCAGGCACAAAGTTCAAAGTCTCATCTTACAGGCACTGGGTAATTGAGAGCACACACTAACACTGTGTGCTCAAGTGAGATAAAAACAGGGTTAGGCGCTGATTCACTCACAGTCTGACACAAAGATAGGAGTTCCGGGCAAAGATTTACTGAAAGGCACAGGTAACAGCTAAACAAAGCAGAAATATAACCATCATGAATGATTTTGCATCTCACCTCTGACTCTTTGTTGGCTTGGTTCTGGTAGTCTATCACTTGCAAAGTCCGTTTGATAGGCACCAAGCTACCCAGTTCATCGTAAGCCACCATAGCTTTCAGTAAAAACACAATATCCTTTTTTTAATCCTGGCGAGTCAGCTCCAAGTAATCCACATCAGAGAAAAAAAATAGTTGATAAAAATCAAGGGTTGTGTGAGAGTAAAAAAGGCTGAATAAATAAATACACCTTCCCCCCTATGCTTCTTCTTCCCTCATGGGACGGGGCTCTTTGAATGCTCCCCTCACACACTCTTTCTAAACTTTGGTCTGAGGTAGGCTGAGGGAGGGAGGGCTTTATACTGGGAGGCGAGACGGGGGAGGAGCGAGACTCCGCTCAGGCGGTTTCGGGTTTACTTGGAACTGCCCGCAGGCTATGTTGACCCCATCCACTGACTGAAAACAGTAGTAAGAATTTTTAAGATCATGTGTACCGCTTACTGCTAAACAGAGTTAACAAACACAACTCTGATGAGGGCGAATAAAGTTTGAAGAAGACTAAACCTTGTCTAACAAAAAGTGGGTTTATCTCAGGGCACTGGCTTAAGGTCTGCAGTAAAGCATGGATAATGAATTTTGATGTCATGTACAAAATTTGATAGTTGAGGATCAAAACAGTAAGATACATTAAGAACCTTTCAGCAAATATTTCTTCTAATTTCTTTTTTTATTACATAAACACACTTGGCAGAAAAATGACTGGCAATGATTCTACTGATGCTGGAGTTAAACAATGAGCTTTACTATCAAAGGCAATATTATATAAAATAGCACATTTTCAACAGTAAACCAACTATTAGAGCTGGAGCTATTAGTTGTACAACAGACAATTAACTGGCAACAATGTTTATGATCATTTCAGTCATTTATCAAAGGTTTTTTTGGTTTCAGCTTCTCCAATGTGAGGATTTACTTCTTTTCTCAGTTTTATAGCTTTGGAAATTGAATATATTTGGGTTTTGGACTGCAGATTAAACACAAATGAGCAATCAAACCTGAAGATTAACATTTTATAGTTTAAAATATGAACAGAAAAACTAGATTAGACTACTAATATGATTTTTGTGCAGCAGTACACTTTTCTTGTGAGTAAGTTGATTTAAATAAAACTGCCAGGAAAGCTCAGAGACCAATATATATATATTATATATATATATATATATATATATATATATATTATATATATATATATAATATATATATATATATATATATATATAAAATATATATATATATAATATATATATATATAATATATATATATATATATTATATACACACACACACACACACACACACACACACACACACACATTTTACTACATTAGTGTTGTAATTTAATAAGCATGCAGTCATGATGAAATGAAAGCCAAATGACCATTGCACATGCTCAGAGAGATTTAATGCTGCAATTTTCAGATAAAACTAAAGTCATCATGCTAAATCACTTTTGCAGCTCCAACACAAAGAGGGACTATTTCTACTATTTCTACCAGGTCTTGTTGGTATCAGGTTCAAATGTTTGAAGCTAAACGACTAACCGTTTAATGTACTTTAAATGAACAAACTACAAAGTAATTATTACTTGGTTATTTCTTCTTAGCTAATTAATCAAAGCGGTCTTTGCTTTGAGGAGCAATGCTCTCTGCTTCAAACAGAGCTGTTATCAGTGTCATCAGCTGAGCTGGGGGAGGTGATCAATTAGAATATCAATAGCACTGTGACACATACAGCCAGATGTTTAAACAGAAACCTGTATATTGAATACCACTGGGGGCAGGGGGTAGGGTGCGACTGCCACCCATATGTTGATTGGTCTTATAAAGCAGAAAAGGGTTAACATGCAACCAGTTTCAGTAAAGACAAAGAAGCTTTCAGAAATCCAACCTGTGGCTCTTTCTTATGCATGTGTGCGCACTCACAGGGGAGATTCACCCAGACAGGAGGGTGCACACATGGCTGAAGCCACAGATTCTACACACCCGTACAGCTGGTGCACAAATGCACAGAAAGAAGTGGAGGTGTTAGGTCTGATGGAGTGGCTAATGTGGAGGTGCTGCTAGGCAGGGTGTCGCAATGTGAGTGTGCGAGTGTTTTGGGCAAATGGAGGAGCCGGTTCATGGCTTCATCCTCCTGGGTCAACACGGAGGTGTGAAACAGGACACGGGCTTCATGCTGCTGCTGTGTCTGTGTGTCTGTGTGTGTGTGTGTGTGCGTGTGTGCGTGAGACAAAACACAGATGCTGATCGAGGTGTATAGTTGTTGACACCTTGTTCTTTGGGTTTGTTGGTCATCTGCTGCAGACCAACAGGATGCTGAATCACCCATATGCCCCCCCAAAACAAAGTGGATTGGGATCACAAATCCAGTGACTTCATTGTCAGAACACAAACAGATTTGGGTTTCATGAGAGAAATAAGATAGCAGAGTGAAGAACTATGCAGACTGAGGAGTCAGAGAGGATCTAATAAAAAATGAATCTGTCTGTCTGTGTGTAGTCTGTGCGTGCCTTCAGAAGACACTGTGCAGTTCTGCTGTTACTCACCCTGTATGGGGAGACCTCGGGCTGAATCAGCAGTACGTCTGGCCCAGCTGCTATAAAAACTAAACACAACATGGCGTGGCCTGCCTGGCCTATTCGCCCTCTAGTCACACTCATCTGCAGCTGGAGCACTGTCGTGATTTACGCTGCAAAACACACACATACACGCCAGTCTGGGCTCAGAGTGGTGGAGGAGGATGAGTAACTTAGACGCCGAGTGGCGAAATTTCACCGCCGTCTAACCTATGCCGTGCCACAGACGGGCCGAGCCTCAAGGCCTGAGTGGCTGAGCTCAACTTAACCTCCACATCAGCAGCAGTGAGTACAGGACGCTCGCAGACTAATTACAGCTCTGGGGACGGCATTAAGCAGGCAGCTCCGGGCAAACAAACACTGCTGAGAGCTGCTGACTGACTTAAAACAACAGGAGGGCGGTGCTGCTGCCCTCTGCTGATGGAGGTCAGCAGCAGCAGAAAACAGATGGAGGGGAGGTGTTGGACTGAACAGTTCATCTTTCTGTGTAGCAACAACTGAGCTCTCAGATCTGTAAAAAGAAAAAAAAGAAACACCCATAATTTAACTTTCCTTTTATTTTTGAGTGAAAATAAATGTGGTATTCAGTAAGAAATTCAAAGAAAAATGGAACATGTACCACTCCTGGCACCAACCATCTAAAGAAAATGTAAAAATAAAGCTTTGCCAATCACATAAATGTTATATCTTTATTGGGGCATGACAGGACTGTTACAGAAAGAGCCTCAAACCTTGCACAATATTTTGCAAGGCATTTTTGAATGTCTTGGTATTTCTGAAGGAAGAAGAGTGTGTACTATTCTAACACAGGTTGCATCAGCGGTAGATTCTAAACCTTATTTTTCCACTGAGGCTTTAATTAAGCGTGTGGGATGACACAGTCAGCTCCCCAATAGATTTTCTAGCCAGTGTCAGGGTCTAAAGGTGTTTTCTTAATAAAATAATATTTTTAGAGCCTGATCTGACATGACAAGAATCTCAACATCTTAAAATTGCCTCTGTCACAGTGATTTGTGGTTTATTAAACTGATTTTATTATTTCTGATGCCCAAGCGATGATGGCTGAGTGATACAGTGCTGTTAATGAAACAAGGCATGCATTTAATCTATTTTTGTGCATGTTTTACTTTGTGCTGTTTCTGCTTTTATGCTAGTTCAACTATAACTAGAGCTGTGTTGTTAGTAAAGTAATCCAGGAGCTTATTTAGATGTGAAACCAACATGTTAAACTGCCATTGCATTTATATAAAGAGACGTACGTCTAAACGAAGCTCCTGTTACTTTGGGTTAAGATCTGATGACTGTGAAGGCTGTAACACATGGCATCAAAGCACTCAGTGAGCCTCTGTGCCCTGTATGGAAGCATCTGCATTTGTTATGTTTCTCCAACTGGAATATTAAAAGAATGGGTTTTGATACTAGGGTTATGAAAAGGGAATCAAGACATTTTATTAGTCCGTAAAGTTTAAACGCACGGTCCCCAGAAGGTTTAGGAGTGTTTCTAAATCAACCCCCAGTTCAGGGTGTGACTGAGAGATCCTAACTCCTATTAATCTCAGAAGTTTCTGCTTTGAGGACAAGGAACTATAAATACTTCCACTCCTCTGTTGCTACAATCAAATAAAGATGAAGAGGCAGAACATGTAGACAGTGATCTAATCATACAACAGCCTGTAAAAACAAGCAATAGTACGGTTCTCAAACCAGACTAACATCTTCCAGTTTTGTTTTTTAAGTGCTCACACACCCAGAGCAGCCCTGGTTGCTACAAAACACAGGGAGGTAACTAAGACTCACAGTGAAACTGCCAACGCTTAGTAGACAGAACTGATATACTGATAGAGCTTCCTTGAGCTGAGACACAAAGATGAAAAATTTGCCATAGTGGCACTAGCACAGACAAACAGTTGGTTCTGTAGTTAGTGCGAAGGGAGGCCTTGGAGCACAGTTGCCAGCAGATGATACAGCTAGCCTTATTAACAGTACAATCTATCTGTGTATCAGTGTTTCCAGTGAAGTGATAAAAGCTTTCATTTTCAGGCTCTGAGATTTTCAGGGAATTCAGGGTAGAGTTACAGCTCAGGTGATGAGACTTAAAACAATACGTGCGTCATTTACACTGAAGTTCTTATTATGACAACATTCTTTTTCACAGTAAAAAGTCAAACTACCATGATCTGGAGGCAGGACGGGGGGCAGGACGGAGCCTCACTATATCTACCAACTCTAGCAAAACCACACAGTGAGCTGGATAGCCATCTATGGCAGTTCCACAGTACAGTGTGAAATTAACATATATTCCATGAGGTGTCTACCGTCAGATATTGTAGTAGCCATTATTCCATGGTAGTTATTGCTTCACTGTTGATCATTACATTGTGTAAGACCACTGTGGGCAACAATGTGACAAAGTAGTCTAAAGACTATAAAACCTAAATTTAAATCAGCATCTTCTACAGTGATCAATAATTGTTCCAGGCATAGTTCAAGCAAGACCATTCTTTGCAACGTTTTACTTAACAACTCCATTTGGAGTGAGGGCCAAAGGGCAGCAGTATGCCAGCAGCCACAGGGTTAACAAGGGATTTCTGCCCTAACTGCCTCTGTTTGTGAACAGAGTGTGTAGGGATTAGACTGCGCTGGAAGCAGCTCAATTAGAAAAGAAAATAAAGTCAGTGCACTGAGTGCTGCTCTGATTTGAATCAGGGAGTGGCCCCGGGGCTCTCCACAACACTGTTTGAGTTTTGTTTAGCTAAATCAGAGCAACTGATCCAACTGGTTACAGTCCAGTCTATATACATTTCCACTAATCCCTCTCATGTGGGTGCAGGACAAAAACAGCCTGCATGGAGACAGAATAGATTGAGAGGGGCCACAGGTTGATTATAAACTGTTTGGTCAATTGGTGCTACCCTAGCACGAGAGCAGTTTTACGCCCCAAAGATTTTATAGAAAAGAGAGAACATCTAAATTAAATCTAGTAGACACTTTCATTTTAGGTAAGCGGATCAAGTCAAGTGAAGACTATAGTGAAATGCCAGAAGCTAAAGGGGTTTAGTTATGACAAGATCATTCTGCACTCTAAACGTGCATGTGTATTTAACGCCCACACACACCAAATTAGGTATATTTTCCAGCCCGGCCAGTCCTGCCACTCAGATCTCAATTGAAGAAGCTGGCGTAACTAACAGCAGAGCTCAACAGGATCCTCAAAAACAAACACAAGCTTTATCTAAATGTCTTCTGCTGATAGGCTTAGTCATTTTCATGATACGCTCTGAATAAACAGAAGAAACACAGACTTCAGATCCTGCAATACATCAGATATGGCCTACAGTTTCTGTCACTGTTGCTATCTGATCCTAACAAGCCCATAAACAAACGTAACATGAGACGAATCTACAAAGGCTTGAATTAGCTCTAATTTATGTTATAATGCCTTTATTGCTTTGAGTTTTAGCCCCATTTCATTTTGTTAATTTTTGTGGAATAAAACGAATATTAAAATAAATGACGAAGGAAAAATGTAGGCCCCATTCACTCCTCCTCATAGTGGGTCTTTAAAGCAGTACCAGGGGCTTCCAACGAAACAAGAAAATGTTTACTTCTTAAAGTAGTACATAGGTTTCAGTTTCCACAGATTTTTACCAGTGTGGAAAGCTGTGGTGTTTATATGAGTCAGCGCTGAATGTCTGACGATATGTTTTACCTTAAAGTCGAAGCTGCACAGGCTGACCGCGTCACTCTCATCCTTCTCTCTGCGTTTCCGTTTCTGTGGAAAAATGAAAAGGGACGTTATTAGTAGCAATACAACACGCACCACTGGAATCATTAACCATTCTTATGATGCAGACTGTGACTGGGAGTCCGGTCAACCACGGGCGCCTACACAAGTAGCATGAATCTGGAATACACACTCACTCAAATTCTTTGAGTTTGGTGCATTTCTTTTGAGAAGCCTGAATTAGAAAGACTAAAAAGGCCTTGCATATGTAAACAACTAACATGTTGAATATATTTTCTTAGCTTTGTGCTGTAGTACACATCCTTGTCTGGGGGCCAACATGAGACTAACATGAAGAGCGATTTACGACCCCTCCATTCCCGGCTTGTACTTCAGACCAATTATGCTCATTGCCCCCGTAGCTCTATTGTAAAAGCTACAATAGGCACTGCTGGAGGTCTTTCTGGGGACAGGAAAGGGTTAATTGGGCAGCGGGACACTTTAACACCTGCATGTGGACTTTCAGTCAGTCAGCAGGTGAGAAGAGCGGTCTGGCCTGTTGGGGCTGAGGGTTGTTAAAGTCCAGAAGAGCACTGGTGGCCTCTGGTACCCCTGGGGCTCCGTTACTGCGGTCCATTAACCATGGAGGCCAGACTGCCTCTGGCGAGACACACAGGACGTTAGACCTGATTGACCAGCGAGGTGAGGAGCGCCAAAATGGACACATAATGGTCAGGGGTGGTTGACGATGAATGACTGAGCTGTGCGTTTGTTTGTGTTGAAGCGGAGCGATGGGGTGGGGCTTTCCTCTCTGGCGGGCTAACCTGTTTGTTTTTCCACGTTCGTAAAAAACGTAGGAGCTATCAGCTCAACAACTTGAAATATTTCCCCCTGCATGCATTTCAGCTGGTGTTGTGACTGATTGTTCACCCAGCATATGAATAGCATGGTTTGTTCAAAGCTGGTTGCATCTTAATAGGAGGCTGTGAATGGAGCAGTTAATAACAAAAGATTGTGTAATTCACTTCTGCTCAGCAAACTTCCATTCAGTGCCACAGCTGAGCACAGCAGAGAAGTGTCACTGTTGGTTTTAAAGCTAGCTCAGGAACGAACTGACAAGGTAACAGCCAGATATTAAATGGCAGAGACTAATCAATTATTGCCACTGTTTAGTGTTCTCAAACTGAAGTGATAACAATGTGATAACAACTTTACACCTTTTCAGTCACCTAATAATAGGTCATAATAACGATAATAGTTTTATTCTATAGATAAAATACATTAATATACTCCTCAAAAGAAGCCAAAACTTTTAAATGCTCTTTTTTCGAGTATAGAGTATGGGAAGCCAAGCCTTCAGTCATGATGACAGCCTTAGGATTTTTGGATTGAGTGGGAAAATGGGGGCTCTACCTTGTCCCCTTGTTCAAAATAAATCAGGAAATCAATATAGGACTGTATGCTGGAGAGAGACAGCTTTTTCAAGTCAAGCCAAGTCAGTGAGAGGATATTCACAATTATCATAAAGTGTTCTATATCATGAGATATGATAATATCGTATATCATCCCATCCCTAATATTATAATTTTAAAAAGTCATTAATTCCCCCAACAAAATAAACATTTCAAATTTATTCGGGTTTCATGTAGTGCTGGAATCAATGCTGACCGCCTGTTGACTTTCCGTAGGGTTTTGTTGTCAATATGATCATTTTCTTATAGAATATTCTGTTGCTTAAATTACTGATTCATAGTTCATTATAAATAAACACTAACAAAATTAGCTGCTTTTGTTTGATACATAAACAAAAACATTAACCTGATAACTTTATGTGCCTACACAAGCCAATAACGGCGGGCAACGTGGGTACAATGCAGAAGCTTTCAGCATTCACTACCAATAATCTATCATGAGAGATGACAGACAGATGATAAATATATATGTGATTTTTATATCAGCAGCGATTGTGTAAACAAAAAAAATCGGTTGTGACGTGCTGCTCTGATTGACTGCAAAATGAAAGTACAATGTAACAACTCATGTGACTCATGTTATATTTTCTAAAAATATAATTAGTTTAATTAGAAGACCAAGCAAGCAGTGCCATGGTTTGGTACCTTTTTTCTGCTACACTCCAGACACTATCCAGTTGGGTCAGTCAGTGAAGTTTATTACCCAGGCCTGCTCTAGGTAAGCTTTATGTTTTGTACCAGCTCTTGGCAGAACATCAACTTTTCATACACTGCTTATTGGACAGTATTTGTGTGTTTGTAGAGGAGTTACACATATGAGAAGAATAACTTTCAGACTAGGTTATACAAACATCAGCTTAATAGGGAGACTAAGAAAAGCCTGAATAGTGGTGGTGGGTATAGTTCAGAAGGTCAGCTGAAGTCTGCAGCTCATTGTCCGTGAAGCGTGCGTGCTAAGTGTGAATGCCCCCTCCAAGTTAAATATTGCTATAAGCTCGGGTCTTACACACAAGATAAAAACGACACTGGACTAATCTCTGTGCAAAAACAGACACAGCGGGGAAAGGGAGAAGAAAATTGGGCTCGCCTGTTCCTGCCACCTTTGGAAATCCCTACGTCAGCAGCTTGCAGATAAATAACACCCTCCAAGCAGCGACTTGTTCGAATGGTGGGCTGGGTTCAATGTAAATACTCTGACTCAACAAACACACCCCCACTGTCTACTCATCACACACACACACACACACACACACACACACACACACACACACACACACACACACACACACACACACACACACACACACACACACACACACACACACACACACACACACACACACACAAAACTGTTGTGACCTGGTCTGGTTACGTTGTTACTCATCTGCGGAGACAGGTTTGTATGTTACATAAAAGCACGATCATGTACACAGACAACAGAAACACAAAGACACAGCCATAATGAACACTACACACGAGTTTCAACAATTTCAGACAGACAATGAGGGGTTTTGCATTTCTGTCTTTAGATACCAGCCTGATGATAGAGGCTTGATCTGCTGCCTGGAGGATTCAAACAATATCACAGTTTCATATTACCATGAAACCATGGGTTGGATGTTCAAAGGAAAAATCCATCCTTTGACCTGACAAGCTGCTCATTCTGACCCAGGCCTGGATTCCATAGAAGCTAAACTTGCCAAGAAATACTCACACAGTTCAGTGAAAAGGAAGATAAATATTTACTGTACGGACAGAGGAGGTAGAAAGAGAGAGAAAAATTTGTGTCTGCAATTTAAATTTGAACATTCAAAGGCTTAAGCAGTGTTGCTTGTGTAACATTTGAGAAAAAGTGTATTAAGTTAGGTGGAGCAGCCCCCCCCCCTTCCTTCATTGTTCTGCTCCATCTCAGTCTCATGTAAATGACAATAAAGCCATGAGTCGGTCTGCTGACAGAGTACACATGCACCCAGGCCTAGAGCAGAGTTCACACTGACAGCACTGCGTGATAAAATATGCAACCACTTCATCCATTTTAAGAGACTACTGTGTTAAAGCTCCCTGCAAAGTAACATATGGCTGTCCGTAAAAAACAACTGAACAAGGCTTAGTCTGATCAAATACCTACTAGCACACAATCCAAGTCTAAAATGATTCCTAGTGACACCTTTGCAGAGTTGCAAAATCATTCATAAGCTTTAAAACAAGTATCTCTATTTCTCAAAAGGTGAACATTTTCTGGCTTCTTAGTCTTCTATGATATTTAACTGAATATATTTGGGTTTTGGACTGTTGTTAAGATAATTTAAGCCATTTTATATTCAATTGTTCAATATTTGTTTTTGTGTGTACGTATGTACAAACCAAATAGCCCGTCACCTTCCAAAAAAAAGGACCCTCTTACCCTCTGCATTTCCTGTTGCCCTTTCTGTAAACTAAGGCTAGGCTAACGCAGTGCTTTGTCAGATGACATCATGTTGCGTGAGGCAAAAGTTGAGCCAGGTTCAACTCTTTTACAGTAAAAGCACCCATTTTTGTGCCAGAGCCCTCTGCACTGAGCCATCATCATATCAAGTCATTCTGAGCACAGGTTTACAGTAACGTTGGCTTGTCATTCAAGTAGGGCAGCAGAATATACCAAATGCTGTCAGTTCCAGAGTATTTTAGGATTGAGCTTCATGGGTTTCATTCAAATGAATTCTAACTAAATTACTTGATTTTTTTTTTAAACAGCTCACTTGGTGGAGCACCTGGTAGAGCTGGAGCTCCATGTAGCAAGGCTGAGGCTACTCTGAGGCCAGAGTCCTTGCTGCAGCGGCCGTGGGTTCAAATCTGACCTGTAGCCCTTTGCTGCGTGTCATCCCCTTTTTTTTCTCTATCTTGAGCTGTCCTGTCTAATAAAAAGGGAAAAGCCCCATTTATATATATATATAAATAAAAGAAATAAATGTTTAAATGAGCTAAAACTGATCAGATATGGTCACTGACTGCAGCAGTTCAACGTACCCTTATGCTCCCCTGTCAAAAGCCTGTAAAACATCACAGAGAGCTAGTAAAAACAGGCAGAAATTGCATTTTACTCAGACATGTGTTATCAACTATTAAAAGGCATGAATCCAAGATTCTGAACAGCTGCAATGCAACATCAAAGTGCGACGTATCTGCAGAGGGATGATACAGCTGTACACGGTTCTCTTATTGAAATGGATGAATGTCCACCGGGGAGCAGCACCTCGGATGAATAATCAAGGCTTCAGTGATATAAATCCTGCTCCCTGTGGAATGCTGAGGAATCTCCAGACAGTCAGCGGTTAAAGAAGTCAGTCTTAGTTTGAATATAAATTGCTGTTGATATGGGCAAGACCTTCCCACAATAATTACCAATGTTTGCGTGAAAAGCCTGACGCGGCTCAGCAGCAGACAGCCATATTAAATCATGTCGCCTGATTAAAGCTGGAATGCTGCTTTATCAGACGGGACACTCTTGAGGCTGACATCTCTGGCTGCCTGAACTTGTTGCTTGAAGACACAGAATACCCAGAATCTGACTCTCGCTGTTGTTAATTACCTTCGCATTCCACCAAAAGGCAGTCTGGTTTGATCTGCTCCACCTTGGCATTGGGCTGGAAACCTGACTCACATTCTCGCCATGACAGAAAGCCCCCTTGAGGCCTCGTACCTGATGTAGTCTGAGAGAATGCACCAAGCGCCCGGGGAATGCTCACCTCTCCTGCTTCCAAGGTTTGCCTGCGGGCCAATGCACCCCCACCCTATACCTAGTACTACCCAGCCAGGGGTATAAAAAAAAATCCCCCTCTAACCACTTCAAAGCCCAAAGACCTGGCAAAACTTTATTCAAAGCCTTGGCAAAACCTACGAGTTTAAAGTGGCAGGGTTGAGATAAGAGGGCCAATGAGACAAAGGCACATCCAGGATTCTTTTATCGCTCGCTGTTTATATGTGATTTATAAATGACAGATAGAATTGGGGAGAGGGGGGAGTAAATTGAAAGAATGAGCTAATGAGGTCCACATGGTTTTGGTGGATGAGCTAAGCGTGCCATTTTTGCGAATCAAAGGCAGCAGGCTGGCACAAGATAAAGAGCCGTTGGCCCTCTCTCTCTCCGACCCCGCTTTTATTTCTCCTCCTCTGCCTTCACATGAGCGATGGATTGTGTTTCGGGCAGCTGTAAAGCCTGGAATTGCTCCACGCTCGTCATTCTGCTCGCCGTCTAATCTGCTCTCTCTTTTCTGTTTCTAATCAGCTCGTCTCATTTAAGGCTGACTGTAAACCACAAGCAGGCCAGTCTATTACAGACGGCAGCGGTTTGTAGGCCATTATGTTCCTCTGGTAGGGGGGATAAGAAATCGGAGCAGGCTGGATTTCCTTTATCCAGCATTTGGTCTCTGGCTACATGAACAGGCCTTGTTCAGCCATGAGGGAGCCACATAACAGTCATCACGGTCCTTCAGTGAGGTATTAGATGAAGATACACGCTCAGTGCTGGGAGCTGCCAAGGGGAAAGCTGGCCTGGAATGTAGCGTTTATAGATTTCCCTCCACTGATAGCACTGTAAAACCAAGGTACGGGGATCAAGGCTGGTGATTGCTGTGAAGGATAGAGGCCAGGTCCAGATCTTAAGCAGGCCTAATTGAAACAAGGCCAGTATTTTGGATGGGTTGTACTCTGGGACAGGACAATAACTTTAACTAGCGACAGCATTTGCAACAGTACAGTCATACATCACAATAAGCTGAAATGTCACAGACAGTCAGACCTTGTGTCGAGAAGTCTGTAAATCTTAAGTAGTGCTACAGGCGCTCCTTGGTGCCAGCACTGTTAAATGCAACTGTTCTGTCTTCTGACACATGTAGACTATTACATATCAGACTGGGTAAAGTGCCTGTAGAATGTCAGAGCTGTCGTTTTTCATTTTTCTTTAATATTTCTTTTGTTGTATCATTTGTTTCCCTTTTTCTGTACCCTTGATACACTCATACACACTCGAACAAATCCGTGCATATGCACAAAGTCACACAAAGCCACAAACTGAATACTTATCCTTACCCTGTAATTATCAGATAACATGTCAGCCACACTGTTACATAAACTAATTCTCCTGTAAACATATGCATACTTGAACCACTGTAATTGTCTTGTGTTCCTTGTTTTGTGTAGCCCCCAACAAATGTATGTTTGCATTGAAGAGCCTGAAATCTTAAGTATTTCTTTTTAACTAGAGAAGTCTCAACTGTAACTGGCGGCGGTAGGTCACATCAGCCATTATTGTTAATTCTTTGAGTAACTTGATAACAGGCACAAAAGAAATTGGCTGATGTGGTCTCTGTAGGCAGTTTCTGTAGTAGTGTTTGTGAGGTTAATAATTAAGTATCATTTGTATAATAGATGGAAACTCAGTTAATCTGCTTCATCAGGACTGTGTGGATGTGGTTTGATCAGATTTTACTGACAGCACTGAAACACGCAGAAACAATCCCACAACTGCGATCCTATTTGGACTCAACTGCTGCTAACAGCAATGTTCCGATACCATTTGTTCCTTCCTATCCTGGAGAAAGGGTTAATGGGACACTGCTGGGAAGGCAGGGTTTCCCGTTTCGGGGCTAATAAGTTATGTAGAACTGGATCGTACGCAAACTCGTGGTAAAAAAAAAAAATGGTAAATGAGTAAATAAAGACATTTGTCCTCTAGTCTGGATGGTTTATCTGAGTTATGGTGGCTCTGGGCCAGCAAGGAGCTGCTTTTCATTGCTGTGACAATGAACAGTGCTACCGTTTCCGAGACTTTGTTGACAACTCCGAGATGAGATTTAAAGCCAGAACACATCGTGATGATGGGAAGCGGTGCTCAAGTGTACACCCAGTTTGCACGGCAAGAGAGAAGTCAGCCAAAAGCCAGCTTTGGAGAAATGTGCAGATGGTAAATGCATACATCATGTACTGTATATTGTATGTCATGTTCTTGCTGCTGGGCACTTTGCATCTTGGCTGTGGACCACCTTGCTCCTCCCTGCTGTAGGTTTTCATTAGATATAAACTCGCCAAAGAGTCTTCTAGGTGGGCCTAATGTGATCTGCAAACTTGAAAACATGAGGCCTGTACTCACCAGACTGAAGTCCCATTGTGGTCCTGGGGGGAGGAAGGCGAAGGAGCTTCCTCTTCGCAGTGACCTGAACAATAACGACAGCAGAAGGGAGGGTCACAATTACAACAGAACTACAATGTGTCAGCTACAAAGACCAACATCTACCAGGCCTGTTCACCCTGCAGTACCAATGTGTCACTTTGCCCTTTACAAAAGGTAATCCCTCAAACTCCACCGCTGTGAACAAACATGAGTCAGAACTGACCATGAGAATATTTAAAGGAGCACCAGATCAATTTACACCACCAGGTGAGACCATTCTGACCCCAAGTCCCAGCCAAAGAGTGAGTAAAGCTGTTGACTTCACTTCAAAGCATTCATATGGTGATAAGAAGGGAACTGTGATTCAGGGCTCAGTGGTGTCCTGAGAAAACAGTCACCTCCCATTACCTACCACAGCCTCAGCATGGTGTAGTCACAGCGATGTCCTCCAACTCAAACCAGGACTGACAGATAAGGATCCTCCCAGTCAGAGAGAGAAGGGGAACATGACCCCGGTCCACTTCCTCAAAGAAGCCTCATCAACCACTGAGCTGTCCTTAGACCTACGACCCCTGTGAGATTTGAAGGAGGAGTCCTTTATCCCACACCTTCCTCCCTGCCAAAGATTTTGGAAATGTCCCAGATGTCTCTTTTTGCTGGGAATTTCTGGCAGGGGACAGCTTTCGCCTTTTTTGGGACTCCACAGTGGGATTGTCCGGACTGAACACTCCCCCCGAAAATCGACCATACTGTAAATCCTTCTCATGTCAAACAACATCTTCAACCTGTGTGATTATTAAAGTATTACAACAATGTTAGGCCAGACAAGGCCACCTTGAGGATAATTACACAACACATCCTGCTCAGTGAATGGATGGCTACACAGCAAGAAGAAAAACATCAAAGCAGCTTAAGATCTGTCTTGTACCAACAATAAACTGGATTTTTATTGAAGCCCTGTTTCACACTGGTGAAATACTTTCAATGAGAAGTGTGTCTCATGACTGCCGTACATGGCTAAGTAACTGTGCAACTTATGAAACCAAGTAAACGGACAGCTATGTGCTGACTTGCCACAGACTGGATCCTGTTATGTAGCATTTATCGGTATGGTTTTTGTTTAAAATAAACAACAACCCCCCCCGGATAGTACTTATTCACAAACAGCCATATAATTTACCTATTGTCTCATTTAACGCCAGTTTTTTTGATGCAGGGGTTATGAGACGCTCTGTGTTATGAGACTGCTCAATTAATCGAAATTTGATCATGATTACGATTTTGGGGCCAAACGATCTCAAAACTAATAAAATCTGTGGGAAACTATTTTTTTTTTTCATTTTCTGTTGTGCAACATTGTATAGAAAAAAGCTGTGTCCCAATTCAGGGATGCAGCCCCTGAATGGAAAAGCTGTGTTCAAGGTGGTATCCACGCCACTAATAATCGTTTGAATAATCGCGATTTCAATTTTGACCCAAATAATTGTGATTACGATTTTTTCCATAACCGAGCAGCCCTACTGCGTTAATTTGCAGATTTGAACCTTCCAGTGAACTGACATTTTACTACAATTTTTCTCTAACTGTAACATGATTTTGGATGACTTAAAAGAAGAAGTAGTCTTTGTTGCATGTACAATTACCACTGCTGTGCATGGGCCACTGGGCTTTCATGAGAATTCTGCTTACGGTTCTAGAAAAAATAGACTCAATGCTGAAAAGAAATCATTCCACGTCTGGTAAACCTGCTTTGAAGTGTCACACCACGCCGGTTATCCTACCAACAGTCAAGTTTCAAACAAAATATGCAAGCAATCTGAGGCGTCAATTATTTTCAGGATATTTGGTCATTTTAACAAAAAACCCAGGTGTTTCCATGACTGAAAAATGTGTGTCTAAATTTCTAGGTATAAAAATTTCTTAGGAACCTCAAGGTGGAAAAAATGGACACCACTGGTGGGCAGACTTTTTATGGCACTAGTTTGAAAGAGCATGATGAAAAAGTACATTTCTAATAAGCGCAGATATCAAAATTGAACTGAATGAAAATGCAAACAAGAGGTGAAATGTTAAGACACTGTGGAGTATGTTTAAAGGAACTATCACGCAACAGTAGTGTATCACACTCAGCAGATGTGACAGCACGATGAATCAAAACCTCCTCCATTGCTCAGCTTTCACAATGCAATGTGGGTCTCGCACACGATCATAAATGCTGTCAGAACAGTTAGTAATATTGAAGATGTATGTCTTGGGGGCTTAGATGGCGGGACCTAAAAAGGCATCAGCATCCGGAGAATGCTGAGCTGCCCAGAAACACTTGTTCTGTGCGTGTGTGTGTCCGGCAAGTGCTGCTCGTAAGGCTGAGTCATTCCAGTCATACTGCCGCTCTACTACTTGTTGCTACAGGTGGCATTTATCCAGTGACACAGGCTACTGTCCATCTACAGTCAACTGCAGCACTCTGCACGCTTTCTCTCTGCTCCGACACCTCGTCACAGTAGGTTGGGGCATGTATTATGGAAGCCCATTTCTGCCAATGTGACGAAAGAACAAAAAAGATTCTTTATGTAATTAAGTAATTATAATGAGAAACTTTTCCCAGAAATTGACGTAGAATCTCAAAATACTGAGAGAGTTTCTCAATATTTTAAGATACTAAGTCATTATTTTGAGATAGTAAGGCAAAATATTGATAAAGTTCCTCATTATTATGAGATACTAAGTCCAAATACATAGTCAAACAAACAAAAACACAAACAAGTAAAAACAGCTACAACAGGCCACCCTCAGTGACTAACAAGTGATCTCAGTGTAAAAACTGAGTAATAATGCTCGTATATGACCACAAACCACAAGTGATTAACAGTGCTGTAGCCTATTAACCGAAGCAATATCAGACACAATCAAATGAAAACCAACAAGTAGAGGGGAGAAAATGAGAGCAGACAGGTCCTGTGGAGCTCAGCGAATTGCACCGAGCACCAACACAGACTAATTAACTAAGTTTAAGGTTTAGAGTTCCTCTTGGGACCACCCATGTTGGAGATGTATGCACTAATGCTACTGTTAATGTGTTTTGGATAAACAGCATGTGTTGTGGAATAACAACAATAGCTAGAGAAAGAAAATGAGAAGCTCCCTGGGTGTTCTGGAGGCAAGTCAGGGGGTCAGAGGTCACTGCAGGTGTTGCTCGGACTTAACTGTCAAATTGCTGAATTAAGTTGACACTGCTGTACGGGGCAGTTTGTCCCATTTGGCCACTCCAAATATCAATCTTTAGACTTCTAGAGGAGGCGCCGTACTGCTTGATGGTCGAGGATTACAAATCTACCCAGCACAATCCAATTCCAGTGGTGATCAGCTGTGCCAACTGCAGTTTGAATGAACAGAGACATCAAATGATCTCTTTCTGTAACACACAATTCATTCATTTCTGTTACTACATCAGGAGGTATCCACTGATTTACATCAACATTTTAAGGAGTTTCAACCCAGGTCACTTTTCCATCTGGGGTGACGTCCGCCTAATGACCTAACTTTGGTAATGAACACAGTCACATCCTGTGGGTTTGATGCTCCATAATGTTGGTGATTTGCAGTTTTGATGACCTAGGATCGGACGTTCACTCTGCACTTCCACACCCCTGCTCTCCCTGGATACAAGCCTCAAATGACTAATTAAAATATCCCTGTTTCCCTGTGGTTTGGTTTCTAAGGTTATGACAAATATTTATGATGCAAAGAATTGCATCAGGGTGAGCCTGTACTTCCAAAATTCACTGTGAACTTACAGTAAAGACTACTGATATGCTTGTGTGAGTCAGTAATAAACAATAAAAAGCAAGCTGTTTTTACATTAACGTAACATTGATCAATGGGTGGTGCATGAGAAAACAACGGTTTTACAGGCAACGCGTTATTAGTGATTAGTGTCTGTGTGATCAGCCCCTTACAGTCAGCTCATTTGAAGGACTAGTGTGTAAGAGTCAGTGGCATATAGTGATGAAGTTGCAGATTGTAACCAACTAAATATGGCACACCTTTCCAACCCTATAGCAGAATCTATGGTGGCCACGAAACAAAACAAAAAAAGAATAGAAAAGAAAAACAGCCCCTTCTAGAGCTAGTGTTTAGTTTGTCCGTTCTGGGCTACTGTAGAAATATGGGGTTTCATCAATGTGCACTGTGTCATTGCTTTTGACATATTACTGGATATAATAGACTCGCATCAATTCCTGTACCCTGTACTATTTCAGAAGGAAACCGAATCAAGGGTAAGGGTTAGAAGTTTAGTATATTAAATAAAACACCAATCACAGATGAGTCACCCTGTGTAAAAGGTATTGCAAAGACCGGATGGTGATTATTTAGTTGCAGAGAAGCAGGGCTGGATTAGGATGCTGGCTGGGTTCTGGCTTACAGTAAGGCAGAGGCATCTGTGGAATGAGCAGAGCTTCCAGAGAAGCAGACAGATAGTTTGTCGCTGAAAAATGGCATGCATTGGCTGGGCCACACACAGTTTCAGTGATGCATCATCAGGCAAGGTGTAGCAATACATGCTGGGAAACTCACAGGAATTGAGAGCCAGCAGCGATCAAAGATGACCGCTCTTGCACTCATTGACTTCAAACTAAGACTTCAGGCTACAAATCACTCTGCTCACACTGCTTATAAAGATGAAACCTCTTTAGGTTCATCCATTGACAATTTCTAAAAAGCTTCATTCAAACAATATGGCTGTAACTTTGTGATATTCTCCTTCAAGTGGAAAGCAAAGAAACAAAGCCAAAAAAGGTAGAAAGCAACAGGTCTGTCTGTATTTATTTGTATCAGAGCACAGTCTCAATCAAGTGAATTACAGGTAGGCACAACATGTAAAATACTACTCCAACACAAGGCACTACGGTTTGTAACAGATTGATTCCCTGCAGCCATGTGGGAAATTGGACTGCAGAACTGTTCAAACTTCCATTCAGCTGACCAAAATGACAAGCCAGGAATCCATCTGATCAGGGTTCCCTGGTTGTCTATGGTCTGAGTCTGCACTCATTTCCATCTCTCTGCTATCATCTATCTGATAACAAAAAGGTATAAACTGGCAACAAGATCTCTGAACAAGATCATTGATTGTCTGAGCAATTAATGAGACACCATGGCTGCCCTTAAACTTAAAAACATCAGACAACATCAGACAACATTGACCAATCTGCCAGACTGTAAACAGTTCATGGCTTTTGGGCTCATTTTGAATGATGGCCCTAGGGATGCACAATATGGTAAAAACAACATATTGCTATTATTTTGACAGGTTTTACAATTGTTAAATGGTTGAAGATTAGTGTGGGGATGATCATTTTTGCAACACAAATTTAATTTTTACTCAAACAAATATTAAAATCACAATGTGACAGTTTTGGGGGTCTGTACCAAAAAAAACAAGTTTTCTTACATGTGAAAAGATTTGTAGGCCAGAGCATTTGTGCAGCACTACAGTACTTCATTACAATGCTGTTTGTCACACATTTTACTTTTATCAAAACATTACAGCTTCTGTGATTTGCATATTGCACTGGGCCATATTGTGATTTTGATTAACTGTGCAGTCTAGATGGCACACGAGTTTGTGTTACAGTTTGTTCGGTGCACTCTGACCACAAATTCCTATGAAACACTTTTCACATATAATGTGACTCTCGCACCTACTTTAACTATTTCACTTGTGAGTAAGGTTTAAACATTGGCCTAGTTGTTGGTGAGATCATCCCACGAGCCTGCAGGTTCAATCCTTTAAACCAGCCAAAGTGTGTACGTCGACAGCTTGTACCCTCCCTGCTTAATCTTTATAAGTTGGACGGATGAGCAACAACTAACAAGAGCTCCTAATCAAAGCCAAGAATATGATTCAACACCTATTTTTTACAGAGCGGGAACTACAAAAGAAGAAATCTTAGCAAATGATCAGGTTAAAAAGAGCTAGAGAAATTTGATGTTTACTTATATCGTATTTCCCACACGATGAGCTGTTTTGAAAACTAATAGCGCCCATTGGTTTATCTTTTTCAAGAATACCTGATTGATATCACTACACATTCATCACTGCCTACAGCCAGGGGACAAAGGTCCTTTCTACTCCTGTACCTGCTCGTATGTGTGTATGTCATGAGTCAGTGGATTAGCATCCCAGCTAGCCCTGCCCTTGTTTGCTGAAGCTGGCTCACTCGGAAACCAAACTATCTCCGCGCTGACCCGACCTGTGCTCCACACGTCCCTCTGTATGTTCTCTGCTGATACTGAACACTCACACACAGCATTGTCAGGACGGCGGCAGGAAAAGCAGCAGCTGATAACAACATCTCCCAGGGTGCATGTGCATACTACTGTTATATGAAGTGTTATATGAAGCAAAGTTTATTGAAAAACATTCACATTTTTATGAGCCATAAACCCCAACCTTGAACATTTTGTCATCTCAGTCTCCGCCCACTCAACGTGATGTTTTAACCTCGATGCTTTACATGGACAATGAACTTACAATGCTGAGTTCACAAGCTTTGAACCAGCCTTGTTTATTTGTGCTGGTCGGATTCTGCACATGCTTGGCAACAAGACCCCTCAAATGTAAAAATTCCACTGCCAGTCTAATATTTAATGCCAGTCTCACTTGGGAAATCAAGCCTCATTTTCTCTCGCTCCACGCTTATGTGTTTTTTTCCATAAACCTTGTTATGGAGGTCAAATATTTTTCCATGTTTGTCTGCAGAGCCAGTTGGGCACTGGGCAGGGCTGTGGCACTTTGGCACACAATATGGAAAGCCTTTCAAAAAAGTTCAACATAAACAGTCGCAGGAGTTTATTGACCCAAAACATACAGATTACTTTTATTGTATGTTAGCTGCCAGTCTGATACCTTACCACATACATCTCACTGCATTGACATAAATGACCTATGGGACTCTGTCTGAGTACTGGTCACATTTATGGCCAATAAAAACATAGCATTACCTTACAGAGTAAGTGTTTGTGTTGCCTGGATCCAATAACAATGTATGTAAAGCATTCCATTTTCTGCTCATCTCTAAAGGTTGGGAAAAAACTGCTTAGACATAGTTCACTGTTATGAGTGCTGCCTTGGGGATTTCAAAGTTCACCCCAGGAATAGATCAGTTATTAATAGATAAATACACTGGCTTATTGGCTGATTTCTGATTGAATTTTGAGTTGTTGCTGGAGATAACGGGGCTTTTCTCACTATTCTGCTTGACAGATAGATGAGAATGCACTTATTGTTTACAACTAAAATTACATTTGTTATTACAGAGAAAGCATAAAGTACTGAAAAAAGGCACTGTTGGGTACATGTGTGGACAGTACCCAACCCTTCTCAATACTGGCTGTGAAATGATCCTTCATAGCACAACTCCAATGTAAGATGGGGGACAGAAATAAACAGTTCTTTGCAAAAATGTAACATAAAGTTGAGCAAAAGCTCCGTCCGTACATCCTCCAGGATCCACATTCTTCACATAGACTTTAAAATCTCCATATTAGGCATGGGAAAATAGGAAAATTTCACGACACAATGATCTTTGCCAAAATAATTGTGATACACAATATTATCACAAAAATAAAAATATTCTCAATACATTAAAATAGCACTAAAACATACTGGAATCACTTTACCTTTTGTTAAGATTCATTGCATCATAGATAGGCACCTACACTCCCTTTTTCAAAATAAATCACATCCTCAATATAAGACTGTATGCTGGCTTTTAAAAGTCAAGCCATGTGAGGATGTTTACAATTATTTAGATTCACAATTATCATAAATACAAATCTTTATTGCGATGTGCGATACTATTGTACATTGTCCCATCCCTACTCCACATATCATACATTCTCATCAAATGTATATATCATGTAATTTTGTGGGTTTGTTCTGTACGCTCAACCTCTATTCCACGTCTGTCCGTGCGAGAACACAGTCTAAAGGCAGTGGCTGTTGAATGTGTAGGTAAATTGTGTGAAATTTGTGCTACATAAATACAATTTTGTTTTGATTTAATATGAAACTGGAGTTACACCAAGTGTATATCTTCCAAAGTTAAAACATGTGACAGTAACCTATAATAACTATCTTTATACAGCTTAGGGATGCATGATATGGATTCTTTTTCAACCAATGCAATAATCAATAATCACCTGCTTTTTATGCCCCATAGCGATAAGATAACAGACAATTTAGCAATTTAAAGTTCATAACCTGGAGTTTTTACACACAACAGTAGTAGTGAAACACAAAACAAGTTAATCATAAAACTTCACAAACATAATTTCACTTGTCGTTTTGCAATTCCAAATAAATGATTATTAATATCAACTGATCTTTATTGGCTGTAATTTCATTCTCCTGATAATTTATTTTATATTATATTATACATTTCCCATTATCAGACAATTATTATCAGATTGTGCATCTCTGATGCATGTGAGACTGAAAATGTGATCCTATCATTTTTTAACAAAATAAACAATTCTCTAATATGCGGTTTGTGTATCTCAACCTCATTATATTCAGATTTAAAACCCACATGGTAATCAGCTGAAGTACATGATATTGAAAGCAATATGGATATTAATGCAGAGTAAAAGAACACCCTCAAAACTGGAACAAAGACTAATGTAAAAACAAAATAACTTAGTATTTATGTGTACTATTTACTAGAAATACAAATAAAAAGCAGATAAAAGCAACAAACAGGGTATACGACCAGTGGCAGGCCACACTGTCCTCTACCTGAGGAGACCCACTGTGGCGCTTGGCCGACATCTTGTGGCGTTTTGACGCAACCGAAAGTACCTGCACAGTTTAAAAGGATGTAAAACGCAGTGTATATGCGGTATTCGGACACTTTAGCTTGTTCTAAACTACTGCTCAATACACACTTTGCTATCCCCCAAGTTACAAACCCTTCTTTTAATGAAAATACATCGCGAAGTAATATAATGTTAATGCTTATAGCAGCAATGAAGCCAGGCCAAAGCATGCTAGTCACCGTTAGCTCAACTACAAACGTTGTCCGGGAGTAATAGCACGGACCGGCTTAGCACTGATGCTTTTACTGGGGGTTTTAGTGTTGCTGCTGCAGGTTGACTGAGTGTCGGTCAGTATGTGGACAGAAAACATGGACTCACCGCCTCAGACTGCTGCTGTTGTTTTCGAGGGGAGACTCTTCTTCATCAGCAGACAACTTCCTCTTCAGGTTCCTGGAGCTCGGTTGTCTTTTCGGTTTCACTGAGGTCGAAACGGGAGCTTCAACCGGACTGGTGTCACCCATTTGAAATGTCTCAGACGGGTTGTATTTTAACTACGTGATACTGAAAGGGTTAAAAAGAACAATAACATGAAATCTTACTACAATAGCCAGGGGCTCGTGACTGTTTTTGAATATGGCGGAAATCCGAAAATCGACCAATGAGAGGAGAGCAGAAGAACTTGTTGCTAGGATAATACGCTAAGTGGGCGGGGCCAGAGTAGTTAAACGTCAGGGGCCGGTGGTGCCTGATAACAACAGTGTGGAGGGATTCTAATTCAGTTTCTTTAAAGATTTACAGTATTATTAAAAATATCTGTAATCTGTGAGGCTGTACACAACCTCACTGCCTTAATGAACTCATTTCTATTCCTGTTTATATTCACAGAAAAGCAAAGAAAAAAACATTGCTAATCAAACCACGAGCCAACATAGCACAGTGTATAAAAAAAACATAAGTACAGGAATTACATTTTCAGAATTTGTATTAAATCCTTGTTTGCAGTTTGTAGATATGAAAACAAAGAAAACCAAAAAATAGACCAAAATGTGAAGACACAGACATTCGTAGATAAGTGTGTGTATGCCTTAAAACCCCTTTTAAATTCACAGTGTGTACAAGACAAATAGATGCTATACATACAGGGATACTCCCGGTGGATGTGCAAAGAGGAGATTAACTTTATTAATCCCCAATGGAGAAATTCCTTTTTCACTTTATTTAATTTTTTATTTTTTTTACACACATAGGCCCCAAATACAATCACACACACACACACACACACACACACACACACACACACACACACACACACACACACAGGGCTTATAGACATGCAAATGTGGAGAGAAGGTGGAGTCATGGGCTGCACAGCAGTGCCCAGGAGATGAGCTGGCACATCTCCAACTACCAGTCCAATCTCCATACTGTCTTCTATGCTGGGCTTAAACTGGCGACCCTCCGGTTCCCAAGACAAATCCTAATGGACTGAAACACACTTGTGCCATATGTGCTGCTTGAAATTCTCTCAAGAAGAAAGGAAAATGTTCCCATGCATATGTGAGCATGCATGTGTATCGTTCATTGAATTGATTCTGTAAATACTGCATGGATCCAACAGAAGAAAACATGCATGCAGAAATAGTCCCATGTATGAACTGAGCTGGTGTTGTTTGTTAACATCACCCAGCCAGTCCCCAAAAAGAAAAGAAAAAAGAAGCATGCATGCAGAAAGATTAGGATTAGCACCCTGGAGGGCACTTCATCACATTTTATCTACCATAGGGGCATCCAACAGGGCAGTTTTGCCGCTCTGCCCACCTCCTGAGTACACCAAGAGTTTTATGTTATGTTAGAATGACTGCAGAATAAAGGATTTGCCTGCACATGGTGGAAAGGAGATACCATGTTTACTTAAAGGGGAACTTGGCAACTATTTCAACTTAATAAACCCGTTTAGAAATCATTTGGATGGTTAAATGGCCTGTTCCGGTGTTAATGGTGACTTTCCCCGCTCTCCCTAGCGTCCCCAGGCGGAAAACCAACCTTGCAACTTTGGGACTACCGTCCCGTTAATTTGGGAATAGGAAGTATCGTGAGAAGCGGGAACGAGCGAGAAACACAAACTGCTTTATGGCAAATCACATAAACGCAACACCCCCCCTCAATACTGGTTAGCCACCCCGGCTATAAGAACAAGCGACGATGAATGTATTACCCACCTCGATAGACATTGCTCCACATGAAAAAGTTGCCCAGCAACAAATGCACATCAGCAGCGGTAGAAAGGGGGAGGAGGGTGCCGAAAGTGAGTTTTTTTACGACAGTGTTTTGAAATATACGTCCCAGAGCTGGAGGGGGAGCTCGTTGAGAAAACATGCGACGACAAAAGTGAAAACCAGCGAAGAAATGGCTAGAGTTGCCAAGTTCCCCTTTAAGTACTGTACTTAAGCGCAATTTAGCTGTGGCTTACTTGAGTATTTCATAATAATATAATAATGTGTCACTGAAAGGAGACATTCTGCATCATGTGTTCTTTTACTTACTACGTGGATTAATGGAGTATTTATTTTTTCTCCTTACTGCTGATATTAGTATTTATGTTGCATAATTGATATTTTGACCAATGTATCGAATAAGAATGTTACAGGGTTCACTTGTAGTGAATTAGCCTTGCACAATTGTATTTATAGTTCATTTTGTTTTTATGTGTTGTTTCAATTTGCTATGTGAAGCACTTATTAATAAAGTGAGTTGAGTTGAGTTAAATAAGCAATGTTTGCTTCCAGTGTTCCATATTAACTTAAAAGGTGCTGATACACAAATGTTGTGGCCAAAAAATTTAGTTACTACAGGTTTGAGTAAAGAATGGGAGTAGGTCTTTCATCATGGAGCAGCGGTCTCATTTTAAATATGATGCAAGACCTGTTATTTACACCTTCAACATGGTTTTCCTACAGTGTTGTGATGGCAACACTTTCATAACAGGTTGTAAAAATGAAGCAATTCAAGCATGTCAAGACGTGTCAAACATCCTACAAAATAGGAAAATAAAGATATAAATCAACCAGGCTGCTATTAGCGTAATGCAGATGTAGTGGTATCTGTGTAAATGATGGCCAATAAGTAATAAAAAGTTGCTTTAGGTCATTTAGAAACAATGTCATCGTTACATCGTTTTTCACCAGAGAGCACTGACAAATTGAATTTTTGTTTAGATTTATTCATTTGGCAGGCAGTTTTGTGACGTACACATGAGGACAGTGGATTTACTCTTGGAAGAGGCAGGTGTTCAAGCAGTCTGTCAACTGTAAAATGCCATGATGATGATGAAAACTGCATGTTTAGTTCATGCGATATTAGTATCAGCCTCAAAAATCCAAATTACCAAAATGTATTTACTTTTCATTTATTTATGTATCTATTTATATCATTTTGTATAATATACTGTCAATATAATATAATGTACAGTTATATAGTATTGAATCAAAAATGTAACTTGAGAAAAGTAAAAAAATTGCCTGTAACAAAAGTGAAAAATTAGTTCAGTCTAAACTAAAAACTATACTTGGATGTAATTGTAAATATGAAGTTGTTCCAAAATAAAAAAAAATCATGTTGAGTAAAAAATTGTGTATGGTGGAAATAATCTTTTTAATTTGTGTGTATGTAAATTTATGTCTTTTGCTGAAGAAATATCTTTGATTAATGCTAAATCATCCAAATCATAAATATAATCTCAGAAAAACTATGCTAAATTTAAGTTTAAAAAATTACTAAAATTTTTTAAAGTTGATCCAAAGTTTGAAAAAAAAAAGAATTAAGTGTACATTAGTTGGATTGTTCAGATATTTATGTATCAATTTCAAATCCACAGTAACTGTTGGTTGCTATTCAATATACTAAACATTCATGAGTAACAGTTTAGCATATCAATCATGCACCTATAATGGATTGTAGTATTGTAGTATTCACAGATAACCCAATCCATCACCATTGTGCAAAAATTCTTAGTTCTCGACATTATATTTGGGTTTAATGTGATGTTTTTTTATCTTGGAGCCATGTTTATTGTGGAACCTCCACTAAAGGTCCTGTGTGGCATCATGACGATGTTCTAGAACAAATGTAACATTCACGAACATTCAAAATTTTGTCATGCCACTGCTTGCAAGAGAACAGTTCTCAGTTATCTAATGTAACAAGGAAGACTTGAGAAGACCCAACCTTGAACAACTTCCTACAAGTAAGTCACTGTTTCTTTCTGTTTCTGAAGTCAAATTATGTTGCAACTGAAAACCAGAGCTGAGAACTGGGATGAAAAAGAGTTGTTTCATGAGCCATCAGCAGCCAGCAGTAGTTGCATCTTTTAGATTTTATTCAAGTCAAAAGACAAAGAAATAAGGCCTTGTAACAATGAGAGTTAAGAAAACGCAGATTAACACACTGAGCTGTCTTTCAACATAATATTTAAAGAGAAAAAGAGCAACACCTTTTCTGGGCTTTTCCCTCTTTTCCCTTTTAGCTCTCTGTAGAACAATCTATTCGTTATGGACCCAGATGCGTACCCGATCCCGAGCGACTACGAGCTAGTCGACTTTGTGAAAAGTGGGGACTATGGAATTGTTGCAAAGTGCAAGAGGAGGGACACCGGAGAGTCTGTGGCCATAAAACTCTCAAGATACGTAAAGGTCGCCACGCAAGAGGTTGGTTAACTAGAATAAATTATATATTTTGATGTTAACAGGTGCAGATCTGATCTGATCTGTTAATATCTAAATATGTCAAACTTGTCATGTGCCCTCAGGCGACCATTTTACAAGAACTGATGAGTCACAATCTGAACCTGTACCATGTTGTCAAGTTCTACGACTGGTACCAGATGAACAACACCACCGGTCTGGTGTTGGAATTGCTGGATATGAGCCTCACGGACTACATGAAGGATGGTTGTCTGCCTTTAAAAGACATCAGACTCATCATCCAGCAGGTATGGAAAGCAACATCCAAACATCTATCCGATTTTAAACTGTTTGAAACTTTCTAACGGTATAACTGTTCGTGTATCTGCAGTTGGCCACAGCATTTGATGCACTGAAGCGTGTCGGAGTGATCCACGGAGATGTGAAACCTGACAACATCATGCTAGTGAAGGATCAGGAGCAGTCCTTCACAGTGAAGCTTATTGACTTCGGCATGGCTTTTCACACATCTGAAGCCAAGGTGGGCTCTTGTCTCCAGATACCTTATTACAGGTGAGGTTTATAAAGACACTGGTTGTCTATTTTCTTCTATAGCATGTTTGCAATATCCCATTATAAATAGATACTTAAATATGGCTTTTCTTCCACATTCAGGGCTCCAGAGATCATGTTAGGCCTCCCCTTCACTGAAGCCATCGACATGTGGTCTCTCGGCATTGTGATGAGCTTCATGATGCTTGGAGATCTAATTTTCCCATGGAGCTGTGACTATAATCAGGTAAGTAATTAGGTTTACTAAATATCTTTCTTTCTAAGACATCCAGTACTACTGCATCAATATACTGCACCCGGCCCCGATTTATCATGTCAAGAACAACTGGGCTGGATCTCA